GCTGGAAGAATGAGTAAAAATCAAAACAAAAACAAAACAGGGAAGGAAATGGATTACAAAGAACTTCACGAGAAATACAGTTCCAAAAAAATATAACTGCCCATATGTGTCTCCAAAAAGGTGAGAAAAACACAAATTTATCCATAATTTTTAATAAGAAACTTTAGTAGACTTACGCTACAATCAATAGAAATGCCACTGATTAAAAACCTATTCTACAGCAACCAGCAAAGCAAGCAAAAACTCTTCAAGTTTCCAACTAAATACATATATAAATATAAATCTTCATTTTTTTCCTGGTCCTCTCATGAACAATTCGGGAAAGCCTTAGGTTAAACATATTAAAGCTATAGAACTTCCCATCCTTACATATATCCTCATTTCGTATGTTTCTGGTTATTTACATTTAAAGTTTAGCTCTCCAAGTGGTTATAAAATGAAGAAAAAGCAAACAGTACGCAAACCTGTATGCGATGATAGCAAAATGGAGCCTGATCGGATGTTCAGCGAATGGCGATTCGTTTTTCATCCAGTTTATGAATGCCTCAAGAGCATCGCGATCTTCCAGTACATTTTCAAGCTTTTGCGACCACCGATGATGCTCCTCGAAAGGCCCCATCCAGGAAAAGCCGTTTAGCCGTCGACAATAAGTCAAAATTCAATACCTGGAAGCCACTAACGTGGGTCAAGATAAAGTCCTTAAGGACAAACAGCCGCGTCCTCCCATCACCAGCCTTAATGTTCTTTCATTTCTTGCGGCCCGCCTAATCTCCTGCAATGAGCCATTCTTCCGAAGTCTTAGAACTCGCCAATTTGTTATGGCGCCAATTTAAAAGTCAATTGCAGAGCGCCAACGTGAATCTTCCTACCGTGCGTGCCTCATCTGAAGCAGCGTCTGGTTTCCGTTACTGATGTTGATGTGTCCTGTTGGAAATGACTCCGATCAAAAACCCTTCAGAAAAATGCAGTGTTTTACCGATCAACAGCCAATGTTCTTGAACTGCGTACCTTTGCTTTTAACTGACTCAATCATAAATGTACAGCATGTCACGTCGACTAACAGGGTAAAGTTCTCTTTGAAGATGATGAGAACAGCGCATCTTTGCGCCCCAACGGACTGTAATTTCAATCGCTTAACTTGATGATAATTTTTAGCGCAATTTTCTTCGTTTTTTATTTAAAATGCAAAAATATCGTTTTTGCAAGAAAAAAGGAGTAAATAAACAAATAATACAGAATAAAAAAATGAAAAAGAAGACAGATCTGAGCGTTGAAATTATCACTACATTTTTCTCTCATATTTAATTTTGATGTAACTTTTCATTGTTTTGTTGTGCAACTATCTTCGTCATAAAGTTTATAAACAATTGTGTGCAATCGAAGCAGTTCTTGAAGTTAGCTAAGTTTGATGAGCGAGTTACCTCTTGGCTGTTGGCTGCTGAGCGTCAATTAGAAATTATTGCTTGAAATGCAAAGGAATTATCAATTTGAACTGTAAGAAAACCCATATTTACCGTTCTTTGTTTTCTAAGCATCATGAGTAATTTAACCAGTAAGCAACTAATCCATCAATTTATATGTAGATGCGCTTATCATGTTCTTTGTTCAAATCTTTGTACTGTTACCGAAGCTTTAGCAAAAAAGTAGCAACAGTAATAATAACAGGACTGTGGAAAAAAGAAAATGTTACGGCAGAATTTATACTGTTTGTGAACATCTAAGTGGTGAGCCCACGTCTTTAAAATTGTAAACGTTTACATCATCTGATCATTACAGTTGTTTGATAGTTCTGATAAGGACAGGTGCAACTTAAACGTTTCTAGTTGACTCACAAAAACGGCTATTTTCTGATCCCAAAGAAAAAAAAAAAATTAATTTGTGCTTTCTGAATCATAGAAACAAGAGAAAATAAAACAAATTTTTTTTGCAGTGCCACTAATGCAATATTTGCGGTCAACAAAAAACAAAAGTTTTCGCCACTCAACAACTCCACATATTTTGAACTGTTTATTAGAACTTCCGGAAGTGACACGTGTGGAAATAAGTGAAAACGCAAAAAAAAAAAAAGATTCACAATAAACTATTTAATGTAAACAAATAGCACAGTAAACTACAAATTTCAATTTCTGACAGTCTCTGGTGTTAAATATTTTGAATGCAGATACACATCTGCTTTGGCATATTCCTATCACTAACTTTTTCAATAAAACCGCGTTAAATGGAAAATAATTTTTTTGACTTGTTTTATTTTAACATTCCTTTGCAGTTGTTTTATATATAAGACGTCCTCTTCTATGAATAATAATTTTTTAAATAGTGCACTTATTTGTGCGGTAC